GGCGGGTAGTGTAGACATACCCTTAGATTCTGTATATACATAAAGGAAGACAAGGTCTATAATGTTAATTTAGATGGAATATAGGGGCCCAAAGATGTTACCATAACACAGTCACTGTCCATCATTAAACAATGTTAAAAAGGCCTGGTGTCCCAGGAGATGGTGGGGGTGGCAGTCATGATGCTGAAGCTCACTCCAGTGGCCTCCGTCTTTTCTTCCATACTTCCCCCAAAGTCTTTCTTTAATGACCCAAAAGGGAGTGATGGGTGGGATAACCGATTTTCTTATTTTGCCCATCAGTTAGGCCTAGTTTCTGACACACTAATTTTGGTTCATTAATTTCCGGACCCACATTTTCTTGTTTACCATGCATGATCTCAATGTGGTCCTTGAGTTATATCAGAGGGCCTTTTTGTTTGGACTACTCCCGGGGGGAGCGGTGGTGGTCTGGTTTTCTTGCACCTATTATAAATTCTTTGTTAAAAATAACTTGACCTACTTTTCGTGGTTAATTCCCAAGCAAGCAAGAAGTTATAGGCCCAATTGTTACAAGTCCCTGCCCAAAATGTTTACAATTGAAGATTAATTTGCTTAGGCATACTGGAATATAAAAGATGCATATGCTATTTCCATGTCTTTTCAGCACATTGACAGCGTACTTATCTTGATTTACAAAATTACTTTAAATAAGTTTTCAGTAAAGCCTGGTTTTGTTTTTTCTCCTGCCATTTACAGGAATAAGTGTGGAATTTCTCTGCTCACCTCGATCAGATTCAGCAATGGAAAACATTACTGCTTGCCTACATGCTCTGCAAGCATTTCTTGATGTTCCTTGGCCTCGGTCTAAAATAGGTGGTGATCAGGTAACATGCTAATTTAGAAAATATGAGTTGGAATTCCAGGGTATTGTGACAGTGTCTGGTATCACTTAGATCTCTCAGCTGTCCTTGAATCTACAATGATTTTTCATTTACTGTTCTGTGGCACTGATTGTAAACACTGTTGTCTGGTAAGAAATGTGGCAGTTAGTTATTTGTCTCTCTCGTAGATCCTGAGACTTTTTGGCTCTCTTTGAATGTGTTGGTACATTGACCTCACCTAAAAGTTCAGATTTTGCATTCCAAACGTTGTTTTATTGAAAATTTTATAGAACTAGAAAGAAATAATAAACTAAAGATTAATCAAAAAGAAACCCAGCTATGTGACTACTATAGAAATCATTGCTAGACTGCAACTTAGTTATAGTTTGTTGAAAGATGACTTAGATGTGTAGCATGGCAGGTTGTCATTTCTCTGACTGCAGTCAGGGAACAGCATGTCAGTCTCTGGAAGGAAGGAAGCTCCCAGGGTATAAGTTAATGTAACTGGGAAAACTAATCAGATAAACCATCCTTTCAGAGGATATGTCTTCACTACAGAGTTAGCCTGGGCTAGGCTAGCATGGGTGGGCATCCCCACTACATAGCCCTATTCATGCCAGACCTATGTGAATGTGTCCACAATGGGGCTATACTAACCTATTTGCTGGATTCTACTTCTAGCAAAATATTCCATGGGTCTTAGTGGTATATTAAACTGAGCCCCTCTATGAATTCATGGAAGTGCTCTTGTGGTTCTTACTGATATTACACCACAGCTTTACCAGAAGGCTAGTGTCAGCTTCTGGCCAACTGGCAGCGTAGGAGAGGACTTCTTGGATGGCATTTCTGTTCAAATGGTGTGGAAAAGCAGTAGAAATATTTTAAACAGTGCAGAAGAATGGAGAAATTAGATGAGAAAGTATAGCCAGGGTAAAATTGTGAGATTGGAGGATTAACAGCACCCAGACTTGATTAGCCTGTATTCTCACTGCAAGGTAGGCAGTGAGCAAAACCCCTGAGCCCAAACCTTCACCCTCAGTCATGCCTGCTAACAATGAGTTTAAAGCACCCTCAAGCCTGGGTTAGATGTTTTTCTGTGTAGATGGATCTGGGGTTAGGGGCAATGCCTAAGCCAGGGGTCGGCAACCTTTGAGAAGTGGTGTGCCAAGTCTTCATTAATTTAAGGTTTTGTGTGCCAGTAAAAGGTTTTGAGTGCCAGACCGACAGCGCGGGCGGCAGACGGAACCCCAGACCAGCAGTGGGCTCTGTCTGCCAGCCCCTGCCATCCAGGGTTCCGGCCGCCAGCCCCGCTCAGCCTGCTGCTGGCCCGGGTTCCATCCATCCAGACCGACAGCAGGCTGAACGGGGCCGGCGGCTGGGACCCCAGCTGGCAAGGGCCAGCAGCCGGGACCCCAGACCTGTAGCAGGCTGAGTGGCTCATCCCGCTGCTGGTCTGGGGTCCCGGCCGCTGGCCCCACTCAGCCCGCTGCCGGCCCGGGTTCCGTCCATCCAGGCTGGCAGTGGGCTGAGCGGGGCCAGAGGCCGGGATCCCGGTTGGCAGCAGCATGCCACCCAAAATCAGCCCGCATGCCGCCTGTTGCCGACCCCTGGCCTAAGCTATAGCCTGGGCTAATTTTGCATTGAAGACATGCTCTGTGTAGTCTCTTTCTTTTTTTTAAAGTACAAATATGAAAAATGTTTGGTTATTACAGGACCACATTTAGTTTTTCTTTTTACAAAAATTCACACTTCATCCTAGTTCTGATATCTACAATCTAGGGGGATAATATTTTCTGTAAGTATCAATTTTTATTGTATCCTTTAAAGTACAAATTCTACCCACCCATCAAAAAAGTGTTGCTCTTTTATCCGTTAGGCATTGCGTACGTATTAACCACTCAGTCATTATTTTGTTGTTCTGAATGAAACTTTAAAAATGACATCTTTAGAGGCCTGCCTGAACACGTTACCTGGGCAAGTCCTGACTGTTCTGGGCCATTGTTTCCAAAACCACATTATAAAATAAGGCCTCTTCCATTTCAAGAGCAAACTGTGCTGTACTGTATCTTTCAAAGTACTGTAAATAGATACATATTTACTTCCAAAAGAGTAAATCATATCACATTACTTCTGATTATGACTAATACTCCTCCAAAAAAACCCAACCTTGTTTAGTTAAAGGGACATGTCATGTTTTAGTTGCCGTATGACAAATCCACAAACTACTCAGAGTATCCCAGCCTGGCCTCATTGTAATCTCTGTTTATGTACAGCACAGTTTAAATGAAAAATATATACTTAGGAAGCAAAGCAGATATAGCAGTCTCCCTTCATTTGTGTGAAGTAATACTTGTGATTTTTTTAACAAAGAATTGAATGCATGCAAAATGTTTACCTAGCACAAACCATGACAAAAAGTATTTGTTTGAAGAAGGCACGAAAGCTGATACATTTGTGACCAGAACCAAGACTTTTGCTGGCACAACTGAACTCCTCATACTGTTTTAATTGGAATTCTACATTTCAGTTGCCCCTTAAAGCAAGGAAAACTGTCTGCTTTTTAGACCCCAATTTACCTCCTCCTTATGAAAACCTTGTCTTCCCCTTTTACTGTTGGGAATTCTTATCACTTTACAGTTCTGTATCATACAGAACATTCAATAACTTCTGTAGCTTAAATAACACTGCTTACATCTTTAGTTTCATGAATCATTGTTTTAATTTTCCTACTTTTTTTTCTTTCTGATCCTATGTTTAGCGCTTGACAGGTTGGAAACTAATGTATGTTTGGTGTAAGCAATGAGGCCTCTCCTTCCTTTAAGATTTTTGGGAACATTGAGGGGGAAAGGTCCTTCTCACCATATGCTCCAAAATTTACAAGTGTAGATTGGTGGGTTGTTTGTTTAGCTTCAACTTCTGATCTTCTGTGTGAAGGCAGTGGGGTTGCATGGGCACAGAAGTAATTAGGAACAGAATTTAGCTTGTCGGCTTAGGTGAAGGTAGGGGGAGGCTTTCAATAAAATGACTCTGTGGAGTTTTAAAAAATTGCATTAATTCCTTCTGTTTTAATTTTATGCATTGAAACAGTAACATTTCAGACATCAAGTACTTGAGGTTAGACAATTAATATGTAGGGGAGCATCTGCGCTTTGGCAAAAACATTAGATAGATAAAAAGAAAAAAAAAAAAGCAATGATTTTCAGCTTCTCCTAATTAGAAATGAGCAAATAAATGCAATGAGAATATAGTTCACAAGACTCTGACAAAAATGTATACCATCTTATTACAATTTTATATTTACACAGTTGTCCTCAATCTGTTTATCACGGATGACTTTGTACTCGCATCTTAAGCAATGACTCTGTGGAATGGGCAGTCTAGACACAGTCCACATAGGTATTTTGAAGACATTATGTAAAGACATAGAAAGGAAAGCCTGGAGCTAGAAAGTGAATACAATAATAGCTTACTACTACTTTGAAGCTTCATTTTGTATCTCCTGTCTCACTCTGAGGTGAATAGAAGTTCACCATAGAGTATTCTGCAGTCCAAGCTGTTGTTTATGTTCAGTTTATGTAGTATGTTACATTTTCAAAGCATTGTATAAATTTACATTAGAATACTGAACCTCTGATGCTTGTGGGTAATAAGTAAATGAATGTGAATATCAAGACTTTGAACATTTCTCTTGCTACAGGAGCTTGGTGTGGAGTTGTTGAATGTTCTGCATCGACTGATACTAACCAGAGAATCGCCTGATATTCAGCTTGCTACTCTTGAAGTAGTCCGACAGATTCTTTTTGCAGCTCAAGAACATGTGAGAGAAAAACGGAGAAGTGCAGAAGGTATACAATATACTGTTCTACAATATACTGTATAAACTTTTTATGACCAAACTTATTCCATCTATAATCTGTAGATTAGTGGCTTTATTTGTCAAAGGTGCTAAGAAGTCACTAATCTCGTTGACTTCATTGGGAGCTAAAGATATTCGGTACTTTAGAAAATCAGGCCACGCAAGACTAAATAGGCCAGTTGTGAATTTGCAACACAGGAAGCATCAGCTTTTTCCTCATGTGGCAATATAAAGTGGAGTTTTTAAATAAAGCAACTGTGATCATCCAGCTCCTAACAGCATTGAGTACAGCCGTTGAATTAAGCATTTTCTCCTGGATTAGATATACCCTTTAACATTCATTATAATTAAATTACAGGTTTTTCTTCTGTTTAGAAGATGTGGAATGAAACCAAATTTTATTTCCTATATAATTAGTACATATGCACAGAATTTTGTACCAAAATATTTTTTCTTTTTCGAGTGCTTGCTCATATCGATTTCAATTAGGTGTGTGCATGCCACGTGCACAGTTCACTGGAAGGTTTTCCCCCAGCAGCACCCGTTGGGTTGGCTCTGGAACCCCCTGGAGTCACGCCTTCATGGCTCTGCATATAGGGCCCTGCCAACCCGCCGTCTCCATTTCTTTCTTACAGTCCGTGATAGTGAAAGGAGCGTTTCGTCTCGACTTCAATGAGTGATCCTCTAGTGTATTTTCTGTAAATAGTTAAAGATAGTTAGACATCTGGACTTGGGGCACTGGGGGGTGTTTCCCTCCCCTGCTTCCACATCCCTCTCCTGAGCCCAGGGCATGCCTCAGACCCAGGGGTTTAAGCCGTGCGTGGTTTGCCAGAAGTCTATGCCCAAGGGCGACCCGCACTCAGCTTGTCTAAAGTGCTTGGGGGAGTCTCATGAAGCAGACAGGTGCAAGATCTGTCAGAGCTTTCACCCCTGCATGAAGAAGGAGAGGGATCACAGACTAAAGTTGCTGCTAATGGAAGCAGCTCTCCGCCCTCAGTCTGAGTCAAGCCCCATGGGTATGGCACTGGGCTCCTCAGTGTCGGTGCACAGCACGCTGGCTTCGGTCCAGGAGGTCCTGAGAAAGGACTCTGGGGTCAGAGACCCTCGGCACCGGCACTCCCCAGCGCCAAGCACGGCACGGGATCAATCTTGGCACTGCTCACAGTCTCCCGTCCCGAAGAAGAAGCACAGGAAGACTGATAGAGGGCGCTCCACTTCCCGAGCATGGGAACGTGAACCCAAGGGAGGGAAACTGGTGCAAGATTGTACCTCCCCTCCAGCTCAACAGCCGGCACCGTCGACTCCAGGCCCATGAGAGGGACTGTTGAGTCTGGTGCCACCGGAGGAGACCCAGGTGGAGGATGTGGACCTCCCTTTCACACCCAAGACTTATGAGGCAGTGTGGGACCTGATAACATTGACAGGTCCACACTCCCCCGATCATGGTGTCACAGCACCGGTCCCAAGGCCCCAAACAACTCAGAGGCCAAGGGCAAGCCAGCTATGACTTGGCAATGATCTACATCGCCCCGGCACTGACAGGCACTGACTCATACGTGTCCCGGAGAAGCCGACACTGTAGCCACTGGCACTCCCAGTCAGCGGGGATGACACAAACTTTCTCCCCAGTACCATGGCCACAACAGTGGTGGATACCAGCTCAGATGCCGACCCAGTAGCCCTTCTGGACCCCGTGGGCTTACCACCAGTCCCAGGAGTCCACTTCAGTATGCTCCTTTTCAGTCACGTCTGAGAGAAGGACTGCGTTTAGGGCCAGGGATTTTTCCCGGGCATCAGCCACCGCTACCGCCACAATTGGTACCGCACCCAGCACCGGCAACAGACTCGGCACCGTGGCTACACTCAGTGTCACGGATGGTACCAGGGCCGGCACCAAAGCAGACTACAACTTGGGGGTGGAGCCTCAGCGTTTTGAGGAGCCAGATGGGCAGGAGGGGCCCTCCCATATTCTGGGCTCCTCCTCATCGTCGCCAGATGAGGAAGTGGCAGGAACATCCTCAGAGCCTCCCCTTCCTGACAGCAGAGCCCATCTTGAACTTCTAAGGCGGGTCGCTCAGAACCTCAGGGTACAGATGGAGGAGGTCACCAAGGTGTCAGACCCAGTGGTGGACATTTTACCCCTGGCAGGACCCACCAGGATGCCCCTTCCCCTGATAAAGACTATTCTGGAGAACACACAAATCCTGTGGCAAACACCATCTTTTCTGGCTCCTACCGCTGACGAAGTTGAGAGAAAGTACTTTGTGCCCTCCACGGTCAATGAATACTTGTTTACCCACCCCCTGACAGACTCATTGGTGGTAGCGGCTGTTAATGCGAGGGAAAGGCAAGGGCAGCAAGGGCCTTCCTCCCAAGCTAAGGACGCAACGAAGCTAGACCTCTTTGGGAGGAAGATATATTCCACCAGAGGGCTCCAGCTTCGTATCGCAAACCAGGACGCGATCCTTAGCCGTTATAACTTCGTCATGGGATGCAATGTCCAAATTCTTGGACCTTTTCCCACCAGATTCTAAGCTGGAATTCTCGGCTCTTGTGGATGAGAGCAACACGGTCTCCAGGATGTCACTGCAAGCGGCATTAGACTTGGCCCACTCTGCAACGCGGACGATGTCTTCAGGCATCGCAGTGCACCATTGCTCATGGCTGCAGGCCTCAGGCCTCCCTGGGGAGTCCAAACAGAAAATTCAGGACCTACCATTCGAGGGGGCCACATTATTTTCTGAGAAAACGGACTTGAGACTCCACAGTCTGAAAGACTCCCGAGCCACTCTAAGATCACGGAGTCTGCACACCCCTGCCACCCAGAGTAGACAATTGAGGCCTCAACCCATGACACGAACATGCCAGGGGCAGTTTAGGCAGGATCAGAACCATAGGCATCCCAGAAACTAGAACTGTCATCACCAACCCCAACCTCCGAATAACAGGGAGTCTGGGTCATCCGGGCAGCCACCAGGCCCTACGCAGACCTTTTAAGGATGCACCCAAGGGCATTATACCAACCTCTCAACTGGATCCTTCTCTCCCGTTTTCAGAACATCTATCCCATTTCTACCGAGCGTGGTCCCAAATCACCTCAGACCATTGGGTCCTGCACTTGGTAGAGATGGGATATTCTCTCCAATTTTCCTTGTCCCCACCTGCAACACCCCTTACCCCCATCCCTCTTCAGGGACCCCTCTCACAAGCAACTTCTCGTCTAGGAGGTACAAACCCTCCTATCAGCGGGGGCTGTCGAAGAGGTTCCGCCAGAGTTTAAGGGAAAGGGGTTTTAATCCTGGTATTTCCTAATACCGAAAGTAAAAGGGGGGCCTCAGGCCCATCTTGAATCTGCGCAATCTCAACAGGTTCGTGAAGAAACTAAAGTTTTGAATGGTCTCTTTGGTCACTATCATCCCGTCCCTGGATCCAGGAGATTGGCATGCCGCCCTCGATTTGAAGGACGCATACTTCCACATTTCCATAATTCCGCCCCACAGGCATTTCTTAAGGTTTACAGTACTACCGTTCGGCCTATCATCGGCACCTCAGGTGTTTACCAAATGTATGTCAGTCATAGCCCCTTTTCTGCAGAAAAGGCAATTTCAGGTATTTCCTAGACGACTGGCTAGTCAAGGGTCGGTCCAGAACACAAGTGGATCAACATGTCTCCCTCATAAGATCCACCTTCAATGCATTGGGCCTCCTCCTAAACACTCAAAAGTCAACGCTCACCCCTACTCAGAGAATAGAGTTCATAGAGGCAGTGCTAGACTCAGCACAGGCCAGAGCATTCCTGCCCCAGTCCCACTTCCAGGCCATTCACAACATCATACAGGACCTCAAACAATTCCCTATAACCACAGTAAGGAGTTGCTTAAAACTCCTAGGTCACATGGCATCTTGCATGTATGTAGTGCAACATGCGAGTCTCAGACTCAGACCTCTCCGAGCTTGGCTGGCATCGGTGTATCGACCAAGCAGGCACAGTCTAGACATGGTGGTTACCTTCCACCGGACGTTCTCAAGTCTCTTCACTGGTGGCTCGACCTGCACTTGGTGTGCACAGGGGTCGCATTTTCCAAACCCCGTCCATCCCTATGTCTGACCACCGACGCCTCGGCCATGGGGTGGGGGACACACTTTGGGGAGTACAGAACTCAGGGCCTCTGGTCTCAGGAGGAACTGATGCTTCACATCAATTTAAGGGAGCTCAGGGCAGTCCGGCTGGCATGTTAGGCCTTTCGGCCTCTCCTGGAGGGAAAGTGCATATCGGTCCTGACAGACAATACAACAGCAATGTTTTATATCAACAGACGAGGGGAGCATGCTCCTCTCCCCTATGTCAGGAAGCCCTCAAGCTCTGGGAGTTCTGCATAGCAAACTCCGTACTTTTGGCAGTGTCCTATCTTCCGGGTCGCAGAACGAACTAGCAGACCACCTCAGCAGGTCTTTTCACAACCATGAGTGGTCTGTCTGCCAGGATGTAATAAACAATATCTTCCAGCAGTGGGGAGTTCACCAGATGGATCTGTTCACCACAGGGGCCAACAGGAAGTGCCTACAATTCTGCTCCTTCCTAAACAACAGCCCGAATTCGTTGGCAGATGCGTTTCTCCTTCCGTGGAAGGACTGCCTCTTCTGTGCGTTCCCTCCCATACCATACAAGGTCCTCCTCAAAATCTGGAGCAATGGAACCTTGGTGATCCTGGTGGCACTGGCCTGGCCACGGCAGCATTGGTACACCACACTACTGGAGCTATCGGTGGACACTCCAATCACTCTACCGCTAGTTCCGGACCTCATCACTCAACATCACGAAAGGCCTCAACACTCCCAATCTCGAGTTTCTCCACCTCACAGCTTTATCTTGGACTACCTCATAAAGTTGAAACAGCAGGGCTTTTCTCACTCCTCGATAAAGGTTCACCTGGCTGCTATATCTCAGCTTTTCACCCAGGAGAGCATGGATGCACCATCTTCACTAATGAAATGGTGTGGCGGTTCCTCAAGAGGTTGGACCGATTATATCCTTGTATTTGGCGGCCTATCCCCACTTGGTACTCTCGAGGCTGATGGGGGGGGTTCCCATTCAAGACCCTAGCAATGTGCTCACTCCTCTGTCTTTCCTATAAGGTGGCCTTTTTGGTTGCAATAACATCAGCCAGAAGGGTGTCCAAGCTCAAGGCTCTCACATCGGACCCTCTGTATACTATTTTCTACAAAGATAACGTGCAACTGCGACCCCACCTGGTGTTCCTCCAGAAGGTGGTCTCGAATTTCCACGCCAATCAAGACACATTTCTTCCAGTCTTTTTCCCAAAACCCCATGCCAATAGCAGCGAGCAGAGGCTCCATTCCCTGGATGTGCGGCGTGCAGTGGCTTTTTCTATTGAATGAACTAAGCCGTTCCGTAAGTCAAACAAGCTGTTTGTTGCTGTGGCGGACAGAATGAAAGGCCTCCCAGTATCCATGCAAAGGATATCGTCGTGGATCACATGGATCACAAACACGTATATCCAGGCTTGTTATGACCTTGCTAAGGTCCCTGCCCCTGCTCTGACTGCACACTCCACCAGAGCTCAGGCTTCTTCGGCGGCCTTCCTGGCCCAGGTACCAATCCAGGAGATATGCAGAGCAGCTACGTGGTCTTCGGTCCACACCTTCACTTCACGTTATGCCATCACCCAGCACGCCAGGGATGATGCGGTGTTCAGCAGGGCTGTGCTTCAATCAGCGATTCCATAAACTCCGACACCACCTCCGAGGTAAGACTTGGGAGTCGCCTACTTGGAATCGACATGCGCAAGCACTCGAAGAAGAAAAACTGGCTACTCACCTTCTCGTAACTGTTGTTCTTCGAGATGTGTTGCTCATATCCATTCCAAACCCACCTTGCTTTCCCCTGTGTTGGAGTATCCGGCAAGAAGGAACTGGAGAGGCAGTAGGTCGGCAGGGCCCTATATGCGGCGCCATGAAGGCATGACTCCAGGGGGCTCCAGAGCCGAACCGACGGGTGCTGCTAGGGGAAAAATCCTTCCAGGGAACTGTGAACGTGGTGTGCACACACATAATTGGAATAGACATGAGCAACACATCTCAAAAAACAAGTTACAAGAAAGTGAGGTTTTTTATATAGTTGGTAGTGGAAAGAAACTTAGTACTGTAACAGTGTGTTTAAAAATACTGTTTATATTTTCAAAGGTAACTATGTAAAAAACATCTTTGTAGCATATTGGTCATATTTGCTAAGTAAGGCTCCGAGCCCGTGATTTGCTCCGTGCAGAACAAGTTGTAGGATCAGGGCAAAAGAGTCTAAAAGTCTGAGTACATGCTATGAGGGATTATATAAATTGAGGCATATCCTAGAAAATATAATTATCCCTTTATCACTTACACTTCAAACATCCAACCATGGATCAAATGCTCTATTATTTTGACCCTTGATTCCTGTAGTTCTAGATTTGCTACTGAATCTGAGTGCATCTATTTTTAATCATCATTATAGTAAAACATAGCTCTTACATTGCCTGGGTCATTTAGTGCACTCAAAGGGATTTGCAAACATTTAACCCTTAAAAACACACCTGTGAGACAAGTGTTACATGTATTTTACGGCTGAGTAAAGTGAGGCAAGTACGACACAGATTAAATTGCCCAAAGTCAGACAGTGATTTGGTCATACACCTGTACCCCAATATAACGCTGTCCTTGGGAGCCAAAAAATCATACAGCATTATAGGTGAAACTGCGTTATATCGAACTTGCTTTGATCCTCCAGAGCATGCAGCCCCACCCCCCTGGAGTGCTGCTTTACCACGTTATATCAGAATTTGTGTTATTTCGGGTCGCGTTATATTGGGGTAGAGGTGTATAACTAGAAATTGAACCCATCAGTGCTGGCTGCAGGCCCCCCTGTTCTAATCAATAGACTTATTCTTTCCTATGTTGATGGATAAGGTCAAAGATCTAGTAACTTCAACCATGCAAGAAGTATGAACAAATCTAAAAGTACACATTATCATGAGTCATTTCTGTTCATTTAATGTATAGGTATGACTAAACAAGCACTTTGGAAAAGAGGTAGATGAGGCATTTCTAGAGCAAATAACAGAAATATTCAAAACACAAGACCTGGGCAAAGCCTACACTAGAAACATAAGTCAACCTAACATAGGTTGACTTACAACCACCTTGGTAATTATTGCGGTGGTTCATGTCCACATTACCCTCCTTTTGTAGGTGATGCGTGTCCTCAACAGAAGCGCTTCCACCAACTTAAGAGGGGCCGGGGGTGGGGAGGCTGAGAGCCTAGGCTCTCAGCTCCACACGCAGTTCCTCGCTCCAATCCAGACTGTGCCCTGGGCTCCCCACTCCCCATGGAGAGCCCGGCGGCTGCCCCAAGGATCCCGGCCCCCCTCCGAGAGCTTGGGAACCACCTGGACTCCAGGTGAAGAGCTCCCTGCCAGGTTCCCCGTTCCCGGCCAATGGGAGCTGCTGGGGGCGGTGCCTGAAGCAACAGCCACACACCCCCCTGCGCCCCTCCTTCCCCAGGTTCCGGCCTCTTCCCGGAGCGGCGTGGGGATGGGGCAGGGCAGGCAGGCAGGGAACCTGCCCTGCCCCCGGTGCGCGTCGGGCCGGAGCCCACCCCCCGAACCCCTCCTGCAGCCGAAACCCCTGCCCTGAGGCCCCTGCCCCACCCCGCACCCCTCCTGCACCTTGACCCCCTGCCCTGGACCCCCTCCTGCGCCCTGACCCCCTGCCCTGGGCCCCCTGCTGCACCCCTCCTGCACCCTGACCCCCTGCCCTGAGCCCCCTGTTGCACCCCCACACCCCGACCCCCTGCTGCACCCCAACCCCCTGCCCTGAGCTCCCTGCCACACCCTGCACCCTCACCCCCTGCCCTGAACCCCCACCACACCCCGCACCCCTCCTGCACCCCAACCCCCTGCCCTGAGCCCCCTGCCACACCCTGCACCCTGACCCCCTGCCGCACCCCTCACCCCTTCTGCACCCCATACCCCAACTCCCTGCCCTGAGCCCCTGCTACACCCCACACCCCTCCTGCTCCCCCTGGGGGCAGGGAGGGGGCGGAGTTGGGGGTGGGGATTTCGGGGAAGAGGTTGGAATAGGGGCAGGGAAAGGGTGGGAAGAGGTGGGGCAGGGGCGGGTCCTCATGGAAGGGGTGGAGTGGGGGCGGTGCTGAGGGCGGCAGGGGGGAGGTGTCAGTAGATGCGGCCCTCGGGCCAATGTACTAGTCCTCATGTGGCCCTTGTGGTCATTTGAGTTTGAGACCCCTGCTCTTGTTGGAGCTAGCTCCAGCATGGAGCCATGAAATTGACAAGAATTGCAACCAACAGCCGATGTAAGTAACTCCCCACCACTGGAAGATATTGTTTATTACATCTGGATGGATAGACCACTCATGGTTGTGAAAAGACCTGCTGAGGTGCTTGATTTTGCTACTTTGATGATTTTAGGAGGTTTTTGTGTAGAATTTCTTAGGTTTTTTTAAAAAAACCCATCTGAAAAATCAGCAATTCCATCACGTGGCATCGTACTGTTCTCCAGCTGGTTCATCAGCAAGGTTGAATCTTGAGATCCACCTTCGAGATCTCTGCCACTTGAGTTAACAGAGTAACTGTTAGCAGTAGTTGGTTGGCTACACTAGAAGGGGACGAGGTGCAGTTTACCAGTGGGTTTCACAGATATTTGCAATGCTGACAGCAGAGGGACTCAGGAATCTTGGGTTCCATTCCACACTCTGGAGAAGTCTTCTCTCATGGTTTCAGAGCCTACCACCTGTTGGTCCTTCTCCCCACAGACTTGCCTCTGTCCTAGTCTTGTCTCTTCCCTACTTTGGCTCCTCGTTGTAATCCCATTCTCCTAGTCATCTTGCCCAGCAAGTCCTAGTCTTGTCATCTGGGGTCCAGTTCCAGTCTTATTGCCTAGCCAGTCTCATTTCCCCTCTCCTGTCTCTTCATCTAATCTCTCTCCCTCCCATCCTGTCTCCTCCACTGGCTACCAGTCCCAGTCTCCATCCTTGGGCTCCTCATCCATCTCAGTCCCTATCCTTCCCCGGCTCTTGGCCCAATTTCCCCCCTCCCCTCCCGGCTCCTTGTCCTAGTCTCCTTGCCCAACCAATCCCATTGGTCTCCCCACCGTTCCTTGTAAAATCTCTTTCATTTCCCAACCCGCACCTTCCCCCCCACAAAAAAAAATGTATCCCTCTCTAACACCCTGTCTCCTTGCCCAGCCAATCACAGCCTCCCTTCCCAGTCTCTCCCACTTCCCCTCCCCCAACTCTTCATGATAGTTTGTTTTTCTTCCCCTCCCTTCCAGTCCAACTCTCACTGGACACTTTGTCCCAATCTACTCCATTTCTTCCCTCTGATTCAGCTCTTGTCCCCGCTGCACTTGAGTCAGGTGGCTTACATCTCTATGCTGCCTGAATGCCAGCAGGGGGGTAATTGAAAGCACAGAGGAGAGAAGCTCCCTGTTTTCAGCCCCACCACAGCCCGCAGCAGCCAGGACCAGCAATTCTATTGGAAGCCCAGCTTTGCTTTTGTAGCCTTAGGCTGGAGCATGTTCTGTCATTCTGTGGGGGATGAATGCACAGTTTGTTCCTACGTAGGAGCTCTGAGGGGTTGGAGCATGCTCAGTGAGGATGAAATCTTCAGACAATTTTGCTGCTGCAGTGACTGATAAGAGAGAAAGAGAGAGTTCCTTCTGGAATGCATAGAGGTATAAATACCCCTCTCCCCTGTGTACATGGTGGTCAGTGCCCCCAGCTGGTCTGGCCTCTTCCTGTTGCCCCCTTGGCTTTACTTAGGTAAGTCCATCCCTCTTTCTCCTCCCTCATAACCCAAAGGACCCTTAATGGAGCAACATCCCTTTCTCCTGCCGACAAAGACCCACCACATTCAGTTGAGGTGAGTGCATCCTTATAAATTTATTTCAAACTACACTTGTTCTCTATCAGAACTTTTAACACTGTGCTGCATTAGAATTTAGAACTGTAAATTATCCCCTGACGATATGACAAAGCTTCAAGAAGTAAACTTTTGTCAACAAAACACTATATGCTTAATGTTCTTATTTCTACTTTTCGTTATAGTTGATGATGGTGCTGCAGAAAAGGAGACCTTGCCAGAGTTTGGAGAAGGCAAAGACACAGGAGGACTGGTGCCTGGAAAGTCATTAGTCTTTGCGACGCTGGAGTTGTGTGTTTGCATTCTAGTGAGGCAGCTCCCCCAGCTTAACCCTAAAGTAACTGGTAGCCCTGCAGTTAACGCTGGAAAACCTCAGTTGTTGTCAGAGAGTGGAAGTAGATTGGTATCAGCAGCATTAGTTATCCTCTCTGACATTCCGTCAGTCTGCTCTCCTGAAGGTAGGATGTGGTTGATACCAATATGTGATTTCGTTACAAGGGAAGATTAAATGAAAAGATGATGATGATGATGATGATCATAGAGTAACATATACTTACTACATAACTTTCTCTGTTGGATAAATGTTGGGGCAAGGTCTAGAGCCTCAATTTAGGAATTTATAATACAGCTGTAAAAATGTGCTCCAAAGGGAAATGCGCCATATCATCTTTGTCCAAAAGTCATCTTGTAAACTACAGAAACACAAAATAGGAAGGTAGTGTTTATCTCTCATAGCATCTGACCGTCACCCCAGAATTCATTTTTCACAGTCACCAAACCTTGTTAGATTTTTTTTAAAATAATATAATTACATAAAATATGTATCTATCTTATCTTGTTACCTTTCACTGTTGTTATCTTCATGCTCCCATAATCCAGCTTTTTTCATATGTTGCTGAGTTAGGTCTAATTTAGATCATAATTTCCTTGAAACAGAGTCCTGTCACTGTATTTATGTAAAATACTATTCATACCTATCATACTGTACAAACTATAAATCCAGCAATTCCTATCCTTTGCAGCTACCAACCCCTTTTCCCACTTACTGGCTCTCTTCTATTGAGTCCTTGTGTCATGGTCACCATCCTGCCAGCCCAAAGGGATGATGATCTCCTTTTGGAAACAGTCACTGGCTCTCCTGTTCAATCATAAGGATTAATGTTGGGTGGTAATGGCCTTTTGTTACATTCAGTCCAGTGATTGTCATCTTTCAGAATGACGAGAAAAGAGCTTGGACATGGCATGGTTTGGCTCTGAGAGGCACTATTTGTGAGGAAAATTAGTTTGCTCCTTGGGTTGAATTTGCTCCCTGCTGCATTCTTTGCCTTTAACAGTTCAGGGAGTTTTACAAGCAAATTGCTTGCAGGATCAGATTAAGTCAAGAGATCAGGACATGGAATTGAACCCAGGTCTCCTATATGGTAGTGCTTATGTATAATATAATCATAATAAATGGACTGGTTGTGCTGATCTTCAGTAGCTGTTCCTCCCAAGTTCCTGCAGTTAAGCTTCAGAGATTTTTTTTTTTTTTTAAGGAAACGGAACAAGAACCTAAGGCACCAGTTCAGTAAGGCATTTAAGTACATGCTTTAGTCCATCTCCATTCAGTCTGTTTTGCTGAATAGCAATGGACTTAAGCACATTAAAGTTAAATGTGCACTTTGACTTTAAGTGTGTGCATTGCTTAATCAGGACCTAAAATAGTGCACAAAATGTATGTGTGGACTCTACTCCATTGACTTCAGTGGGATTCAGGTGTCTGCGCTAGCAGAGCCCAGTCTAAACATTTAAGCATGTTGGAACATAGGCACTGCCAACTTGGGTCAGACTCAAGTTCTGTCTAGTTCAGTATTCTGTTTCCAACTGAGGCTAGCACCAGATGTTTCAGAGGGAGATGTAAGAACCACACCGTAGGCAGATGTGGGATAACCTGCTCTGCACATTAGGTGTGATGCTTTCCTAAATCTTTGCTAGCTATAACTATTATAACGCTAGATATTATTATGCATGTTCAGTGTCTGATCTCTTTTTTAATCTTGCTAAATTCTTAGCTCACTGACTTCCTTCAGCAAAGAGTTTCACAGTCTAATTATGTATCGTGGGGAAAGTATTTCTTTTTATAAGTTTTGAATTTGCCACCTGTTAATTTCATTGAATGTCATCCCTGTTCTAGTGTTCTGAAACAGACACATCAGAAGCTCCTGAACTACCATCTTTATTTTGTGTGTTTTATTATGTCCCTTCTTATTTGTCTCATTTCTGCAGGAAACAATCCAAATCTTTTCATTCTTTCTTCATATGCATTTTTCCACATCATTATCATTGCCCTTCTCTGAACCCCCACTAATTCTGACTTTTACATGATAAACTTTAGGTATGTGAGTAGTCCCAGTGATGTTAATGACTTTCTGACTTAAAAGGAGAGAGTCCAGCATCTCTTTAAGTAGCCAGTCTGCCTCTGTTTGACATTAAAAATCACATGCTGTTTAAATACTTTTTTCTGGAACCAAGACTTACAATAAGTAGGCAACTTTTAGAAATGAAAACTGTTTAGACATTATATATAAAAAGGGAATTGAAGAAAAGTGATTTATAAAATAACAAATTCTGAAAGTCTTTCACTTTATACAGTGACATACCAAGCATTTGTTTTGTCTCATAGGAAGTGTTTCCGTACTCCCTACTATCCTGTACCTAATCATTGGAGTCCTCAGAGAAACTGCTGTCAAATTGCCAGATGGCCAGTTACCTTTGACAGTTGCTGCATCTTTACAAGCTCTTAAGGGGATATTGTCTTCTCCTATGGCTCGAGCAGAGAAGAGCCGAACTGCTTGGACTGAACTTCTTCGTAGTGCTTTAGTCACAGTTCTTGACTGCTGGGATCCAGGTAACCAAAAGTGAGAGGGGGATGATGAAAAGATGCTTGGTGTAGATAAAATTCAAATAACTCTAGAAGATTCAGACGGTGGTGGAAGAACTGAACTACCCTTTGTTAAGATAACTTAATGTCTAAGGGTGAAACTTACTTAACCCACATAGTCCAACACTGATGTTCTTAAGTACAGCACACTCCCATTTCTGCTACTATAGTCCAGGGGTCGGCAACCTTTGGCACCTGGCCCGTCAGGGTAAAGCCATTGGCGGGCCGGGCTGGTTTATTTATCTGGAGCGTCCACAGGCACGGAGCCCCACAGCTCACTGGCTGTGGTTCACCGTTCCTGGCCAATGGGAGCTATGGGAAGTGGTGGCTAGCACGTCCCTTGGCCCGCACCGCTTCCCACAGCTCTCATTGGCCGGGAATGGCGAACCGCGGCCAGTGGGAGCTGCGGGACTCTGTGCCTGCGGACACTCCTGATAAACAAACCGGCCTGGCCCACCAGCAGCTTTACCCTGACGGGCTGGGTGCTGAAGGATAGAATCATAGAATATCAGGGCTGGAAGGGACCTCAGGAGGTCATCTAGTCCAACTCCCTGCTCAAAGCAGGACCAATCCCCAGACAGATTTTTGCCCCAGATCCCTAAATAGCCCCTTCAAGGATTGAACTCTCAACCCTGGGTTTAGCAGGCCAATGCTCAAACCACAGAGCTATCCCCTTCCCCAACCCCTGCTATAGTCTATAGGTTGGAGTAGCCACCACAGTCTCTCCGTGTTTCTTTTGGGGTGTAGTGTGGAGGCAGATTTCATGGTTCCTCCTGTGGCTTACACCCAGCCTCAGCCCATTGCTATCCTCTGCCTCAGCCTGTGTTGGAACAATGCACCCAAAGGGTGTATCCACTGCAGTGGTGCTCCCCCACCGAGCTCTAATGTGGTGTGGAAGGCTACATGCTTATCCTCTGCACCAGGGCCACTGGTCAGAATTAAAACAACACTTTCACCATCAATGGACCTACCTGCTTTCCTTTGGGTGAATCCCCTCTGACAAGCAAGGGGCTTTGCTTGTGCAGGCAAATGTAATTTATGCAACTCTGTACCAGATTCAGCAAATCTTGTTCCTTGAGTTTAACTTAATTATGCAAAAATACAATTGTGTGTATATGTATGATTATATTAATTATAAAACTTCATAATCCTGAATTTATTTTTGAAATTACAATATAATTTTCATAAATCATTTTGGTGATTGATGTGTGTCTGCAACCAATACTCTAGAGCGTTGCTGTACTTAGTCCACAAACATTTCACATGGCTGAAACCATGCAGCCTTATTCTTTACCTCACTGAACACTTATTGCAAGATGTGTGTCATGCATCAAACACACTCTTTCTTGTATTTAATTATCATATTTACATACATGGGGTATGTTTCCCTTTTGTGAGATATACTGTAATGTCCCCAGAGGCCACTGGTTCTCTATAAATAAAATGCGACAAAGAGTCCTGTGGCACCTTATAGACTAACAGACGTTTTGGAGCATAAGCTTTCGTGGGTGAATACTCACTTCGTCAGATGCGTGACATTGGTTTTAGATTCTTCTGAAAACAGTTGTATCAATAAATACAAAAGAAAAAATATTTTCTTAATACAAAATTAATGTGCTTGCACCACTGTAAAATTCCATTTAGACATAATATAGAAAATGCCATGCCAAAAAAATGCTTCATAAGCACTCTTTACATCACTTTAGAACATTACAATTTGCAATATTACTTTTAGAATGTGAATTTGAGACTGTTTTATCTTTAGTAGATGGAGCTCAACAGGACCTTGATGAAGTCAGCCTGCTTACTGCCATTACAGTATTTATTTTGTCTACAAGTCCAGAAGTTACTACCATAGAGTGCCTTCAAAAGCATTGTATTGAGAAGTTTAAAATAGCACTTGATTCAAAAGACCCTGTAGTAAGTACTTTTCTAGCTAGAGGAGTATTTCAGTTAGAAGCATTCTAGCACATTTTCTGTTGAGCTGTTTCACTGGGCCGAACTAAAAGTGTTGATTTGAAAGAATTTTTTTTTATTCTGTCCAGTTTAGATCTATTGTATTTTAAAGTACAATTCTAAACTAGTTGGCCAGAGCTAGTGGGTCTGTGCTTTGCCTTGCTTTTAACTGTTGTTCATTAAAATATTCTGTATACAAATTAAGTATTTTCTATATTATTGTTTCACTATCTGGGAAATAAGAACTTCACACTTTGCTAAATGGGTAAGAAAGTTATCTAGTTTTGCGGACATTTCCTTAATTTTCTCTGTGCACTTATTTTAGACCTTAAGGCACTACGCTGCCAGGTCATCTGTTTTGATTCTTTATCTGTACTCTTGACAGAAACAGCACATTAGGAGGATTTTTTTCTTGTTTCTTACATGGTGGAAGTATACCACTATCACAGCAGTTCACCCTTTATCACACTGGAAGTGCAGCTGTAAAGATGATACTCCCTTGGGCTTTTGTTAATTAAATAGTAGTTCCCCAAATGTGGGCTTTATGTTGACCAATGTAAGAGTCCATCGTAAACCAGTTTTTTTTCCTCCTCCTCCTATACTGATTTATCAATCAGAAAGTCAGCTTTATTTAATTTTAATTATCAAAGTTGATGACTCAGCTGCTAGAACAAGATGGAAATATTTACTTTAAGTCTATTGCTATATGTCCAATTTTAGAAATCTCAATTTTTAGCAGGATGGCTTTCACTAATAAGAATTTCAGAAAGCCAGGTGTAATTACAAAAAAAGAAATAGTGACATAGGGTGAAATTT